ATGCCAAGCAACAACATGTGCTTGTGTGCATTTGAATTTATTAATTTTGTAAATATTTCTTCTGGTAATTATTGACTGATAGTAATTAATATCATCCAACCATTAGATGGAGGACAACACGAATTACCGAGACTTTTTTACTTTTTTTCTGATATTATGCATCAGATATCGTTCTAACATATTGTCTCTATCTGATCAGCCTTTACTGTCAAATTTCTAAAGTAAGCTATATGTTGGAACGAATTCGTGAGGCGTTCTTCGTTTATTAAGCAGATACGATATGCCCCAATACTTTCATTTGGGTTTTAGTCTTGAACAGATTTGCTGTGAAGCTTCAGAAAAACTGCTGATGCACTCTGGTTAGTTGACCATTTCAGAGTCTAACCATTTCAGCTCTTCGCGTTTCTGGAAGACATGTGCCACTGTCGTATCTGATGTCTTGTCAGATTGTCGTTTCCTGCTTTTCATTACGATAAGCCTGAGATTGAACTTGTTTAGAACCTTTTCACTAAATTACTTCTAAATATCATGACCGGTTCAATCGCAATAAACAACAAAGTAATAAACAGTAGTAATCATAAAAATGGAAATTTATTTACCATGAAGCTTCATCAGAATAAACATTACCCTAAGGTTCTGACAACTTCCTGACGAATAGGTTTCTTTAATTTGCCACTTTTGAGTTAGACAATGATACCTTTAGACCTGATACCATTTTTCTCCTTTATTCTGTTGTTTCGGTTTCCGGGACAGATCATTGCCATTTACTTTACACAGAACATTTTTCCTAATTTGTAATGCCGTTTATTATCGTAATGTTTATTTTTGCTGATAGTAAACTACTGATAATAAAATATATTTTTATTTTCCTAAAAAAATTTGCAAGCTATCACAGTTATAGCCCATTTTTTAGGTTACCTATCAACTTAAAATTCTAACGACCGCCGTATTTTCGGTTGTAGTACTCCACAAAAAGTTGGACCGCATTAAGTGGTATTCTTTGCTGTTGCTGATGCTTGGAGTTGCTATTGTGCAGGTTTATATTGCTCTCTGTCGTAATTTCAGTGCTTCATGTTTTCTTGTAGGTTCCGACAGGAAGTATGCAAGTGACTTCTGCAGGTACCACTGGTAGTCGCAACGTTTCCCAGCAAGTAATGGGAGTAAGCGCAGTTTTGGCCG